ACGGAGCTGGATTATCAGTTGTTCCAGAGTGCCCAGTGCGGACAGCACCGTGTCCGCGAGGTATACCAGCTATGGACAACATGCCTAAGTTTCTGGGTTATCGGGTAAACGGAAGAATGCCTGACAACATTGAATATTAGTCTGTTGACCAATAGCTCTATTGACAAGTTCAAATTGTTTAATTCGGTAATGTTGGAATAAGATAAAAGTCTTAGGTTAATTTACACCGGTGGGCAAATTGTTCCAAGAGAAATTACGTTAGAGAATCTGAAAAACAACATTTTTTCATAAACGTTTAAATTGATAACTGAAAAAAAGTTCGTGATCACTGTAACTATAAAATTGCAAAACTATTTGTATCTAAAAAGCAAGTATCATTAGTTGAATTAACGAATCTTCAAGCCAATAATACAATGAGCACTTTGATGTTTGACCATGAAGACTATCAGACTATTTACGATCGCGAGCCGATGTTTGACCAAAAGGGACTTTATACGTTCAGATGTCGATTTTTAACCAATAAGACTATTTACGATCGTCAGATGATGTTGGACCGTCGTGTCTGTTAACGATCAGATGCTGAAGTTTGATCACATTTCGACAATTGTTTAACAAGGTTCGGCGCCACCGACCGCTGAGCTAGTACTGCGTGTGTTCAATAGGGTACGGGAACTTCCTCACACATTGGGTGCGTCAACGTCTGTTCTAGAGTCTTTTGCGTACTCACAAGCTGAGCCCGTATCCGTGAAATCCCTTTCATGCACAAGCATGTCTATGGTCAGCGAATTATTACTTATTGTAATCTTGCAACCAGGTCAAAAATTAACGTTTGGACATTGAAACTGACATTCGTCTTCAGACCTCCTCAAGATACCGCCAAAATCATTGAAAATGGAGGCGTTTGAATATTTTTTTCCCGGAGATCAGCATGCAATCCACGATTGAGTGAGCTAATTTCACGAATACGGACCCAGTGTCCCCTACTGGCACGTGGAATCTGTTAAATGTTAATCAACATGGAGGGGTCTTGGAAAATAATGGTTCGCTTTTGATTACTCATCTTTACCCATATAATCATGTGAAAAGGCCACGCTTTTCTCGGACACCATTGCACTTTACAACATGGATTCTTCTCTTAGATAATTTCTTCTGGGGACTCAATACAAACAAAATTTATAATTGTTTTCCCATTCCTCCGAAATTATATTAAGTCATAACGATGTTGATGATTTAAAGAAGTACTGTTTTATCTAACGTGCTCTTGCAAAGGTTTCGGTGTTAAAATTGACCGGCTTGGTAATGCTAACAGAAACTTAAACTTATCATGTCATGTCAATGAGATAATGAAAAATGATGTATGTATTTGTCAAATATCTTAAATAAACGGCAGGATATGATTGGCCAGATCACAGACGTGGTATATACAGGGTGTTACACAGCCTTCTACATCGGCACCTGCTTTTATACATCTGAACCGTATTTCATATAATTTCACTTCATAGGCAATTAAGTTTACAATACAATGCCTGCAACAAATGTGTTACATTACTGTAATATACATGCAATACATCTGTAATATACATGTTATATACTACTAGTATGCTGTAATGTAAATTTAGTAAACTGTAATAGACCTGAAGTAATCTGTAATATACATGTTATATACTACTAGTATGCTGTAATATAAATTTAGTAAACTGTAATAGACCTGAAGTAAACTGTAATAGACCTGAAGTAAACTGTAATATACCTGATGAAATGTATCCGGACCCCACTTACAATATATCTATGATACGCTTGTTTTATACTTGTTATATACCTGTAATGTACCTGTAGTATACTGTATTATAAATTTAGGAAACTGTAATATAATGTAATATACCTGTAATTCACCTGGGGTACACTTACAATATATCTTCATTAGTCTTGTAACATACTTGTAAAATACCTGCTTTATACCTGTAATGCACCTGTAAAATACCCGTGATACACACCTGCAGTATACTGTAATTCATCTTTGATTTATCTGTTATGTACCTGTAATATATAAGTTATGTACATTTAATTCAAGTTGGATAAACCTGTTATTTAATACATTTATTACATATATGCAATTTTCCTTTGATTTACCTAAAACACCTATTATATACATATAGCATACATGTAAAAAACCTATAACACACATGTGACATGTAATATACCTGTATCATTCATCAAATGCACCTGTACTATACCTGTAACATACCTGTAATTAACATGTAACATACCTGTGATATACCTGTAATTAACATGTTACATACCTGTGACATACCTGTGTATAACATGTAATATACCTGTGATATATCTGTGTATACCTGTGATTCACATGTAACATACATGTGATATACCTTTAACATACATGTGATATACATGTAACACACCTGTAATTAACATGTAACAGAGATGTGATATACCTGTAAGATACATATGATATACCTTTAACACACATGTGATACACTTGTTATATACATGTAACATACATGTGATATACCTGTGTTATACATGTGATATAGCTTTAACACACATGTGATACACTTGTTATATACATGTAATATATCTGTGATATATCTGTGTATTACGTGTAATATACCTGTAATACACCTGTAAGACACGTGTGATACACTTGTAATTAACATGTAACAAACATGTGATATATCTGTGTATTACATGTAATATACCTGTGATACACCTGTGAGATACATGTGATATACCTGTAACATACATCAAACATTCCTGTAATATACCTGTAACATACCCGTAATTAACATGTAACATACCTGTGATATACCTGTGTTATACATGTGATATACCTTTAACACACATGTGATACATTTGTTATATACCTGTAAGATACATGTGATATACCTGTAAGATACATGTGATATGCCTGTAAGATACATGTGATATACCTGTAAGATACATGTGATATACCTGTAAGATACATGTGATATACCTGTAACACATGTGTAACACTTGTTATATATCTGAAAAATACCAGTAATATACCTGTAACACACATGTAATTAACATGTAACATACCTATGATATACCTGTGTTATACATGTGATATACCTTTAACACACATGTGATACACTTGTTATATACATGTAACATACATGTGATATACCTGTGTTATACATGTGATATAGCTTTAAGATACATGTGATATACCTGTGTTATACATGTGATATAGCTTTAACACACATGTGATACACTTGTTATATACATGTAATATACCTGTGATATATCTGTGTATTACGTGTAATATACCTGTAATACACCTGTAAGACACATGTGATATACCTGTAATTAACATGTAAAAAAACATGTGATATATCTGTGTATTACATGTAACATACCTGTGATACACCTGTGAGATACATGTGATATACCTGTAACATACATCAAACATTCCGGTAATATACCTGTAACATACCCGTAATTAACATGTAACATACCTGTGGTATACCTGTGTTATACATGTGATATACCTTAAACACACATGTGATACATTTGTTATATACCTGTAAGATACATGTGATATACCTGTAAGATACATGTGATATACCTGTGTTATTCATGCGATATACCTGTAAGATACATGTAATATACCTGTGATAAATCTGTGTATTACGTGTAATATACCTGTAATACACCTGTAAGATACATGTGATATACCTGTGTTATAATGTGATATAGCTTTAACACACATGTGATACACTTGTTATATACATGTAATATACCTGTGATAAATCTGTGTATTACGTGTAATATACCTGTAATACCCCTGTAAGACACATGTGATATACCTGTAAGTAACATGTAAAAAAACTTGTGATATATCTGTGTATTACATGTAACATACCTGTGATACACCTGTGAGATACATGTGATATACCTGTAACATTCATCAAACATTCCTGTAATATACCTGTAACATACCCGTAATTAACATGTAACAGACCTGTGATATACCTGTGTTATACATGGGATATACCTTTAACACACATGTGATACACCTGTTATATGCCTGAAACATACCTGTGACATATCTGTAACACATGTGCTACACTTGTTATATACCTGAAACATACCTGTGACATATCTGTAACACATGTGATACGCTTGTTATATACCTGAAACATACCTGTGACATATCTGTAACACATGTGATACACTTGTTATATAGATGTAATATACCTGTGATAAATCTGTGTATTACGTGTAATATACCTGTAATACAACTGTAAGATACATGTGATATACCTGTGTTATACATGTGATATACCTTTAACACACATGTGATACACCTGTTATATACCTGAAACATACCTGTGACATATCTGTAACACATGTGATACACTTGTTATATACCTGAAACATACCTGTAATATACCTGTAACATACCTGTAATTAACACGTAACATACCTGTGCTAAACCTGTATCATTAATCATATATACCTGTAATACATCTGTGACATATGTAATATATCTTTAACCGTCTATTATATACATGTATCTTTAACATATCGGTAATTTACTTTTAAAATATACCTGGTATATATTTATTATTTTCCTGTATTCAATTGTATGTGCCTTCATTAATTTCATGAAGCTTTTTAATGTAACATTTATAATATAAATATTTTTTAAGTTATGAAAACTGCGATATGGATTTCTCTTTCAATTCAAAATATTCACCCACAGATCAAACTTGTTGAACTCATGTGTTTGACCTACTGTATCTGATTCATTTAGTGCTAACTACTATACTCTTCCGCTGTATTTATAATAAGTTAGAAAGTTTCACACTAGAACATACATTCCTGGTAAACTGCCAACGCTCTAGTGATGATGTTGATGTAAATTTCCAGTATTTAAAATAAAACACGTACATATAAATGGAAATTCTGCTTTTGTTTTTGTCATAGTGATTATCTATAACTCTGATGACACACTGTGCTATTGATACGTAGTCTATTTTATTGTACAGACCTGGCCTTGCTAACTCTTTAACTCGTGTGGGACTGTAAAGTTACCTGTATTTAGTATACCGCCGGTCACATCATCATACATATTTATATAACAAACACTGCCGGTACACAGCACGAATCAACAAAATACGAAAACCGCGGATGTAAATTTGTTTACTAGATCGTCAAGTTTCTGAAGAGCGTCCCTTTCGCGAGGACCCGGCTGTAGGTGATCTTATCACGGTCTTCGGTTTCAGCTGCATTTGCGGTGTGTCGGATTCGTGTGGAAAGGGTTCGATCCGGACTTGTTACAGAATGGAAGCTTACACAAATGGTTTGGTTGTCCTGACCCTGCTGGCCATCTTGCGTAAGTACATGTATCGATCTTAGCTTTATCAACTTTGTGTCAGTTAAAAACATGGCGGGTGGGGCTTTCACCCAGCTTGGGTAGATAAATTATACATAGCCGGCTAGCCTTACTTAAACGCGCGCCGGGAAAGCCATATATATATTACTGCTTGTGCAACGTGGCCTAGGACATTTACCCAACAATCTACGGAATTTCTATGCTTAATGATTTATTAAGTTGTTGAATATGCTACATATTACAAAGTTATGTTCCTGGACTTTCAGTATTGTAACCGTAGAAACGCCTACCACGCCGGTATATTGGCAGATATTACATATACCTTGTATAGCTTTGCAATCGCTGTCGGTCGCTTAAAAATCCTCCATACCTATAGCGCAACCATCCGTGACTCCGGAGCTTTTAAGGCACACCTTACTAGTGTGGTGGTTCTGTCTACTGTCATACATATACGGCAATGATGATGTTGCTCCAGATTTTACTATTTAACATCGAAAAGTATATGGCAAACGGCTCTCGTTTAGTTTTGTAATAATTTTTGAGGATTGCATTGACGCTGGTTCTGTGAAAAAGATAATGAATGCGGGTCTATTGAAGCTAACTAGGCGTGGAGGGCCTGTTTGTGACACACGTATATAGTTGGCGCGATATCTGCAGACGATCTGGACGTGTACGTCACGCTACACAGCCTTAAATCGATACCAAGGTGTTGTCTCCAACCTTCATTAACTATCTCTGTCATTTTAACACAAAAAAAAACTACACTGTTACAGTGTATTCAGTAGGAGTATGTCTATGTAAGCGAGCCACCACGCGAATTCTTTACCTGCGAGGTCACCAGAGGTCAAGCGTATGGACTGGCTAACACCTGGGGCTATATCGCTAGTCAATATACTTGTTTCTACACCTTATTACTATTTTATAGGCTCTAAGTTCAAAGGAAAACCCGACCGTGTTAATGGATTGTATTGGAAGTGATCAAGCGGGACGGCTACGATCACGCGGAAATTGTATTGGTTTATATATATAGCTAATTGTCCCCAGGAAGCTGGTTAAAGACATGGCCGATCGGATACATGGCCTTCTGCAATAGTAATGCGACCGAAGCGTCAATCTGACCCCGAAGTATCAGTGTGACAAGGTCATTAGTGGGGCTCAACAACAACCAAACGCACAGGCATCTCTGATGCTTAAACATTGTACAAATAGCCTGGGCTAATTTACCGTAAGATTACACACGTACAATTTCAGCGTAACATGACACACATCCAAGTATACTTCCGTTCCAGGTGTCTAAACATGGGTCACTTATTGGCCCTAGTGTAGCTCGAGGTTCTGACTGTGCATGCCAGCTTTTAGATGTTCAGGTTTTCCCAGTAGCTAACCCTATTTGTAAGAAATGAGGTGAAAACAGGATAGTACATAATTGTTAGTTTCTGGCTAGGGGACTAAATGTGCAACCCCGCCTGGAAGAAATTCTGATGAAAGACTTTAAATTATCTTGTATTAAAACGTATTACGCAACAAGAAGGTAACCGGCGACGTTGTATCAGACTCCGATAGTAAAATTATTTTCAGTCTAGGTAATAAAGGAGGTTTTAAATTGCTACAACTCTTTCTTGTTTGGTCTTTGTGTAGCGTTTTTTATAGTCTAATAATGCAATGCTTCTCTGTAAAAATGTATGCAGAGGCTAGTCAATGATGATCATTGAAACATTTCATGACATTGCCGTAACTGTTTGGTGAAGCTTTTCTTCCTTTGCCATTTACAATGGTTGAAATTCACATAATTGAGTCGGCTTGGGTCACCCCTAGGTCCTGGAAGCGTACACGTAAATGGTACAATACTCGCTGAGTTACCGCGCAATATCTGGCGTCTCTCGCTCCGCTGAGATATCGTTTATATTCCCCTTTAACGTAACAGCGTAATAGACTGAGTTAGAGTCGACAGTCGGAATTAAGTAAGCTACAGTAATGGTTAGTGAAATGGTGCATGTCTTTGTCGTGTTTACAAATGTACTTAAGAATGCTTTCTGCAGCCGCCGCCGCCATTAGAAGGTCATGTTAAAGGTATCGATTGCTCTTCTTTGGTATTTTTTAAGATCACGTGCAATTATACGTTTCGAGTATTTTACCTGATGATTGCTGAAATTGTTTTCTTTGTAAGAATCACTTTTTCGAAATTGAAGTTTTACTGCTTGTTGGACCTCAATACTCGTTTTAAAACCCCACGGTACTAGTTTATGAATACGTCACAAGATAATAAGTGTATTGTACCAGACAAGGTCGGTGTTGAAGTTTGGTCTACGCAAACTGTCCTTTTGTTCATCACTCGCTAACATCTTACCAAGTCACTTTGTTTGGTTCAGTGACTTTTCACGCACTGTTTGCTTCATGCGCTCAAACTCGCGGGCCTCTCTTGTTGATGGTGTTCCCACCCTGTCATGCATGATGTTCGCAGATTCTTGTTATTTCCCAAGAACATGTTTTACATTGGATTCATTCAAACCAAGAACATTTACTGTATCTATAAATATATTTGGCTGTTTCATTTGTCACGCAGATCAGCACTTCGACTTGGTACCATATAAATGCCATTTTCCCCATCAGCCGGTCCGGTGGCTAGAAAGAAAATGATAATCCAATATACAACTTAATTACAAGCGAACATTTCACTAACTTGACAATATCCCGTCGATCAAGTTTCGATCAGCATTACTTACCTATAGCAATGAAAACAATATTACAATGTCGAATGATCGAATTGTTAGCAAACAAACAGACCCTTAATACTGTAATGGACAAGAAAAAGTTCATATTTGCTTAATCTGCAAGTCTGCTTTCCTCACTTTAAACGACATATTTATGAATAGGCTATAATTTCTGCCAGAGCTGAGGGCCGTTTGATGAGAAGAATAAAACTGTGGTTCGTGAAATGCTCAATTCCTTTGACATGGTTTGATGACAGTGGCTGTTTTGCATTTGTAAATCAACTTCAATTTATATGGTATTACGAGAATTACGTAGGCGGTTACAAAGGTATCTTGTAACTTCCGGTAGCCCTTATATCCCCACAACGGTTGGTTAGTCTTAGCTTTGCTTACAATGTATCGTGATCTAATTCGGGAAACGATAAGCAGTATTTCTCCGTATCTTTCTGCGTAATTGTGCTGTAAAAGATTAATTTATTGTTGCTTTCCAACTAGCATTTTATCCAGAAGGTTAGTATTGTTAGAATAGAATCGTCCATGTTGGAAAATATGATATCGAATATAAGCCAATTACAAACCGCATCAATGTCATGGAGTTGTTGATTTTGACACATTTATGAGAATATTTGGCCTTTTTTTTACGATCCTTGTTAAATGCAAATAGTATTCGAGTATTTACAAAAGAGTCTATGGTATACAAGCAACGAGGAAGGAATAAAAAAACACCCCGGCACTATACAGTAATCTATGCAGATTTACGCAATTTGTATGTATGTGAGGTCGGTAGGTATTTTTACACACCTTACAGTATCCTTATGTAGATACAGGTCGTTTGTATGTATTTGTGTAGGAATTTTGGCATACCTCTCGGTGTATGTACATATAGAGTCCATTTGTGTTATTTACGTGTGTAGGTATTATGATTTACCTTATAGTGCATGTATATGCTTGTAGGTGTGAAGATATAGTACAGGTAGATAGGGGCCATCTATGTACGTGTGTAGATATTTGACATACCTTACAGTAAGTGACGGATGGTGATTACAATTTACAACATCCTGATACACAAACTTATTACACAGAAGAAAGTCGGATGACAAATATGTATATACTGAGTCATCCCCTTTTGTACGCTGTATCTGCGAGGCCGGTGAATCTGCTACCTTATTCATTACAGTACTAAGCTTATAGTATATATATATATATATGTATTACAGGTAGCACCCACGTCGCCTCAACTATTTGTTGCTTATTTAGAATGATTTGAGAGTGCAGAACAACAATAAGGTCCGGGGACTCGATATCACTGCGCTGTAGGAGGAGCACACTCACGTTTATCAATGTCATTTTGTCCTATTCATCAATTCTCTGTCGCCGTGTTGCGCCGAGAAAAATCCTTGAAGCAATTGATCAGATACGTTAATAAGGTCTTGTTACAGTAGGGATACTGGGGACAAGTAACGCTCCGTATACGGTAATCAATATCGTTACACTCTTAATTAACAACAAAAAAGTGTAATAGGAATGGGAAAATTATCACTAGCGATAGACACAGTCCAGTCCCAGCTCTTTAAACAAGGGTCTCAACACCGAAAACGGACACAACTATATCATTGTTACAGCAGTCAGTAATGTACAATGTAATAGCCAGATCGGAATTGGACTCCTGTGCCGTCGGACTTTAGTACGGTGTTATTTTGGGGTGACATCGTAGAGATGGGTCGGGTTTCTAGGTGAAACACTTATATTTCTACTCATGAAAGGAGTTATCCCTCACCACAGTTTCCCTATAGTGTATATAATGGTATCAGTTTCCCGTTTGCATTGGAGCAGACACGGCTATCTGGCTTCTATCTATACAGACAAGCGACGTTAGAACCTCTGAGGAATTTTACTAGTATTTTAAAAGGTGCTGGGTCGCGTTCAATTATAAAAAAATACACACAACGAATTGAAAACAATCTACATGCAACATTTCCTAACACAGAAGAATGCAGACGTGTATCCATGCAACAGGACTGCTCAGTAATTACCCACAAAAATTACCGCTGTCGGCCGATCCGATGTAGGTAACGCATGGAAAACGTATGCAGTTTATCATTGATGCTCAACCCACTGCTTTAGAAAGTTAGAAGTTATCGGAGCATTCCACACACAATTTCCGTATTTTATTTATTATGTGTAATCTATTTGTCTATTTGCTGCTCTGTGAAAACGAATGTTAGCACCTGATACGTGGTCTCATGGGCATACATACATCTATGGAAAAATATCAAAATACAAAGATAA